GTCGCTGTGTCAGTCTGCTTCTCCGTCCCGCTTTGCTCCGTCCCTCCATGCAGGCCTGCAGTCGCTCTGTCAGTCTGCTTCTCCGTCCCGCTTTGCTCCCGCCGCTCCCCAGGCAGCTGCTTGTCTTAGAATGCTTTGCTGGGGTTATTTCTCTCATAATAGATGGGGGAGTCACCATCTATTATGTCTTTCTAATACTTTCACTTTTCTGAATGTTGATGTATTGAGCAGATCAACAGACAAAGATTAAAAGGAAAAGATTTAATCACTTTTGCAGAGTGTTTAACACACACTAATAATAAATGTGGTGCAGAACCTACAAATTATTAATTATATCACCACTGGGCAGCATCATTGTACAACGATACACTTAACTGTATCAAAGGGCTCCAGGTGCCAGGCTGCCCCGAAGAGCCGCAGCCTGCCAATCCTCACACCGGGCGCAGAGCGGGAAGGAGCCGGGCGTTGGCACCGTCACATGCAGGGATATATGTCAGCAGATGCAGTAGAACCAGCATCATTATCTCAGACTGAGAGATTGAAATGGTGGGGATTCAAAGACCAGGAAGGAGAAGGAGGCCCTTCCATCAGCCCTCTGACAGGAGCCTTTACCACAAACGCCGCTTGTTTATTTAGGGGCCACACTGAACTTAACAGGAAGCTGCAGGGCGGACAGTGTGGCAACGTGGATCCTGCACAGCAGCAGGATAAACGCAGGCCAGGTGCTCAGTTTCCATTATCTTCCAGAGAGAGAAGTCGCCTCGGTCTTTGCAAGATTTCTGAACCGCAGGAAGTACATTTCTGAGAAGCCAAGATGATTACGAGAATTCTGTGTGGGCAATGACTGCTGCTTTTTTGTGTGTTCACTTCTTGTTTCTGTACATTTTCCACAAATAGAAACATCTAACTGGTGACAGCAGAAATGTGGAGACTCTCCTTGATCTAAGAAAAGAGCACTGCAGGACAGGCGCAGGCAAACCGCATATGACCGTGAAACAAAACAAGTCAGTAGCTTTGAAAACAGCATGTTGCCAACGGCTCTGGGTTGAGTGGGTTTCTATGGTGGACAGAAGCCATGCTGGTCCATTATCAAGCCCATTTCTTTCAGAATTAATAGCTGAAATAAGTGAAGTCGAATGTTATAAGTTTTACTGGAAGCATTTTAAACATGATACTAATAACAATCAGATGCATTATTGTAATAATGACACTGGACAGTCAGAAGGGCTCATGAGGGTTGCTGGGGAAAAAAAGATGTTGTGTAAGTTTGGGAAAGCAGCCAGAACAAATGGGACACCAAGACTGTCTGCAGGGTGAGAGCGGGGCACAGAGACTGTCTGCAGGGTGAGAGCGGGGCACAGAGACTGTCTGCAGGGTGAGAGCGGGGCACAGAGACTGTCTGCAGGGTGAGAGCGGGGCAGCCTACACACTCAGCTCTGTCTGTGGTTAAATTATCATGCCTGATAGAATGATCTGATATTACAGCTTTGTGTAAATGTGTGAATGAGATAAAAAGCAGGTCACCAGTTCAGCTAAGAGCATGCATGCATGTGCAGACGTCTGGGTTACTAACCCTAACCGTAACCCTAATCCTATGTTCACAAGAGAAACACCTAAACAGGCCAAATCTGCAGGATACAGGGAGGAGCTGCGGGTGACCCTGTCCCCAGGAACAAGACCAGGGGCATTGACACGCAGGAAAGGGCATGGAAAGGAAATAAGGACAGAGAGGGCAAATATCATACTTTATTACACTTTAATGGAGACATAAATAAATAAATAAGCATACAAGCCCGGAATTCATACTCCTAAATAAGGATGTATATGCAGCTCTGGGAAAGATTAAGAGATCACAGCAAAATTTTCACTTTCACTCAATTTATGTCTATGTGCCCGTGTAAAATACATGTTTTTGCAAACTCCAGCCTGGCTCTTCCCTTCTGCTAACTGAAACCCGTTAAATCAGACCTAGATAAGATTTTGACAACTCTGAGTTATTAGTCGAGTTCTCCACAAACGAGCCAGATGGGCCAAAAGGCTTCCTGCCGTTTGTGACTTTATGTTCTAAGGGCTTCTTCGTTGCTTTATAGGTCTTCAGTCCTCATATAGGAGCTTTTCCTAGCAGTGCACTTCACACCTGCCCTTAATGTCTGCCATTCTTTTTGAAGGTCACCTGGCATCTTCCTCTGATTTATGAGGCAGTGTCGGTGTTCTGACATTACAGCGTACCCATGGAATAGCGTACTCTCAGTTAGAGCGCATGCATAGAACAGAATAACATAATGTTCTCCGATGGCCCATAAATTTAGCATGCCGTTGCAAGAATATTCGACGGAAAGTAAACGATTATACTTTCCAGTTTTTATGTGTAGTTATAGTTATAATTATCTATATGTAGCATCTATGCTGTTTCTCAAATCTGAGCTAGTACATAAATTAAACCCACTGTTCCAAAAATATTCTAGCTTTCGGTCATACACATTCTTTTATTTTCTTGCATTGTCTGTTTTTGTTCATAGTCTGTAAGATTCCAAATAAAGACAATTCCGGACAATTACAGGAACAATGAGTACTCTCAAAGGAGCAAGCTCCATCCCATGCTATAGATCTGCTCATCTGATACCATACATTTTCTAAGAATGTTTTCAGATTGTTATCACTGTTAAAAACCACAGGAATTTGGTTCTTTTAGCATATATTTCCTTTTCGGTATGTTTTATCAGCGTTCAAAACTAGGGGTATGTTGTTCTGATAACACACATTTTCTTATCAGAACGCATTGCCACCGTTAAAACCATAGACATTCTATTCTGATTGGGTACATTTCCTTATTAGGACACATTCCCTCCAGTAGAAATACAGTTTATTCTGACATCGTAAATTTTAGTCTTAGAAATTTTGAGTCTGAAAGCCCGAAGTGCAACGTTTGCCAGCAGAACCAGGATTAAACCAGGATTTAACAATGAAAATTCTTAAAAAAAAATATATAGAGTGGACATATTTTTTCCAGAGCTGTATAAAGCAGGAGGATCAGAGTGGCTCCGGAAATCAGTCATGACTGCCATATAAGGACCCCCCCAAGCCGAAGCGGAAAGGCGGTGTGGGGGGACTTCAGACGAGAATGCAATAAGCTCTGATAGTTCCCATTCTAAATGATTTGAACTTATTAACGTTGTAAGTTTAAATGCAGTGACTGTGTAAGGACTAGGAGCCTGAGTAGGAGCCTGAGTAGGAGCCTGCCTGCGCTCTCTGCCATAAGCTGAAGTGCGTCCTGTGACCTGAGCGCCACATCTGCATGCTAAACGCCAATCTGCCCACTGTGTCCCTGTCTGATGCTACTAGGGGTCCAGGGATGTCAGATGTGCATGGTGTGTGTGTGTGTGTGTGTGTGTGTGTGAAGTGTGCACGGCATGTACATGATGTGTTCCTGACGTGTCCACGACGTGGCCATAGCTTGTGTGACATGTGCGCAGCATGTGCAAGCTGAGCGTGTGACGTGTGCATTGCACATGCACTGCACGTGTGTGACAAGCGCATAGGATGCACGAAGCATGTTCCGCCCGCTCAGTGCACCGTGGGTCCCATCACCTCCTTTGGCGCCCGCGTCTCCATGGACACTGTGGTCTGGGAGCTGTTTCTGGGGCAGCTCCTCCCTCGCATCACCTTCTTGAAGTGCATGGAGATGTAGCTGCGGAACATCTTGGTGGCCAGGCAGTAGATCACCGGGTCCAGCAGGCAGTTGAGCCCCATGAGCATGAGGGTGACCTGGTGGGCGTCGTTGAGGAGCTGCCTGCTATCCCTGTCACCCACCATTGCCAGCTGCAGCACCGCCAGCGTCCAGGGCCCCTGCACCAGGTGGTAAGGCACGAAGCACACCACGAAGACCACCAGCACCACCATCACCATGCCCAGGGCGCGGCACTTCAGGCCCAAGCTCCGCACACTGACGCGGGTCCCGTGTGGAGAGACAGGTGGAACCAGCAGGGCGCGGACGATCAACAGATTGCAGATGACGACCAGCAGAAAGACCACAAAGAAGAAAGCGATGATGAGGAAGTGGGTCAAAACCAGTGAATGCTTCGTGCGGTCATCCATGTTGTGGTATCCCTCAAAGCAGCGCGATTTTCCGCTTACTTTGTCATCGTTGATGGCCTTTTGGAACAGATACGGGATTGAGGCCGACACGGAGAAGAGCCAGATCACCAGCGAGACGAGCACCCCGCGGTGCCAGTGGTCAGATGTGGCGGCACTGAGCGGCCGTGTTACCACCCAGTAGCGGTTAAAGCTGATCACGGCCAGGAAGAGGATGGAGCAGTAGGTGTTGATGTAGAACATGGCACCGGAAACTCTACACATGGCTTCGTGGAAACGCCAGTTGCCCCACTGGTTGTAGTAATCAATCCATAGGGGCAGAATGATGATGAAGAGCAGGTCGGCCACCGTCAGGTTGGTCATGTAGATCCGCACCTCATTCACGGCTTTGACGTCGCGGATGTTGCGCAAAATGTAGAGAGCGTAGCAGTTAGCTATCAGGCCAAAGATGAAGACCAGGCTGTAGAAGGTTGGGAAAACAGAGTATCTGAACTGTGAGTCCAGGAAACTGTCATTCTGGGACATATTCTCCGAAGACATCATTCTTTGAAAGAAAGAGGACAGACTGTGAGCACAAGGACAAAAGAGCACAAAGCAAATTCCACAGGGAACTTGCAACTGAAGTATAAAAAATATGAAAAGTCCCAAATACCCTGCAAGAGGAACACAGCTACCATCCAAACATCAACACGTCAGAGGCAAAGCACCCTGTCAGCATCATGCCCTCTGTACTTAATGCCAACGTCAACCACCAACACACGTACGTTACTCTACGCTGCCAAAAAACTGCCAATTACTATCCAGGTATTTCATTATTTATAATCTTACCAAAATATAAGAAGCATTTGCAGGACTGTCCAGTCTTCCAGTTATTAAATATATATCTTTGATTGATTGTCCTGGGTGTTTCACATCACACCAGCGTCTTTTACCCCCAAGGACATGCGAGGCAGTTCAAACAGCGGCATCCACCCACAGACGACGCCTATAATACTAACCTAGTCTATAGCTTCGTCTTCTTGTTTCATCCAAACGCATCCAAAAAGTGAGACAACCGCATACTGTATATCCGACCTGGCAGCTGCATTCTGTCATTCGTAAAGTAAGGACTGACGGAAAAAACATAAAACCTACATCACATTAATTCTTTCCAAAGTCTTCATAAAATGTAGACAAGTACGTCCATACCGCGTTTATACTTTTTCTACACGGGCTTGTAGATTAAGGCTGCTGCAGTGACTTACTTTATTACAGCTTGTGTTGGCGGTTTAGCGGCTCCTGATTTCCACATGCAGCCCTACAAGCATGAACTGAACGCGGAGAGAGACGCCAAGCTCCAACTCACCCGGCCGGGACCCCGCTGGTCTGGAAGCCTCTGGGTCTGATCGCAATACCCACTGCGTGTTTGCCAAATGCGGACGGCTGTAGACGTCAGTGAAGTGCGGAAGGTGGGCGGCCTCCCCCTGTGTGGTTACGGCTTCTCAGTAACTCCTCATTGAGCAATCAGCCCGGCAATGCCACTCCCGACTGCCCTCAGGCATGGCGCTTTGCTTCATGCTCAAGTGCACAGTGCTACGAACTTGCCTTACATTAACGTGTCCATTTTTTCGATCCGTTTCATAACGGTACAGTGTGTATAGTGATTATAATTACCGGTTCAATGACCTAATAATGGGCAGTACGCACACTGTCAGGGTTCTGGGTTCGAATCCCACCCCCGAGAGTGACGTGTGCATGTTCTCCCCCTGTCTGAGCATAAAAAGCTATTCTTTAACTTGGCATAAGGTTACGCTCATTTCATAATAAATTGATGGTTTTATATGTTTTGAAGGGACGCCTTTGCTAGGCTGGTGCAGTGCTTGGCACCGTTACCCCCTCTGGGATGTGGGTTCGAGTCTCTGCCGTGGCTGTGTGTGTGGAGCTTGCATGTTCTCCCCCAGTCGTCATGGGGTTTCCTCCTACTCTGATAAAGGCTCCAGACCCTCCCTGCCTCCCAGGACCCTGAATAAGACAAGTGGGTACAGAATTTGGAAGGATAGACATGTAAGCCACATATTCAAAGAACGGATGTCTTTTAAAATCCCCCACCTCGGACGTCACGGAGATCACGACGGCAAAGTGGCACATGCTGGCACGACGGGGAGTGTGCCTGGGCACGCTCACACGGCCTTTCACGGTTTGTCACAACTGACTATTGCATTTGCAGAATGCTGTGTGTAATCCCCAAACCACCTGGGTTACATGCATGAAAACGGTCACGTACATTTGTCCTCATTTTGCGTGATAATCAGTTGCTTTCGTTTTGTTAATCATAGTGGAATATGTAGTTTCCCAGTGAAATGTTTTACATCCAAAATTCCATATGTACGCAATTTTCCTGTAAGCCACCAATTCCAAGCTTGTTCACCAAACTCTCAGAATGACTCGCATATATTCCACAAGTAACAGTGACTGTTGCCAATCAGATTAATTTTGCCAGCTGTGCCAAAGCTGCTCGGCCCACCAGCAGAGGCGGCGTGGCAGCGGCAGGCCAGGGCTTGGAGGCGCCGAGGCCCCACATGCCGTGCGGCATAGAAACAGTGCTACTCGCCCCCCCCACACAAGGGCAGTGCTTTGGAAAGTACTCAATTCACAGGCTTAAGTAGCCTACTTCAGTAAAAGTATGAGGCGTACTGTATATAGGACAATTCAAGTCGATTCATTGTAAGAAAGAAATCTTAAATTCACTTCAAGATGTGCATGTGGCATCGTGAGGCGTGTCATCAAACCGCAACATCGTCACAATAAGAAAAGCCAAGCCGCTAGAGGACAAGCGGATATTTTCTTTTTATTCAGAATAAGCGGGGAAACTTGTCGAGCGGGCCGGCGGATTAGCAGAACTACGTTTACATTCTGTGGAAAACGAAAGATCGATCTATAAGTCAGATTTAGTAATGAACTGTAAACACGGGCTCGTCCCAAGGGTGGCTGGTTATGCGATTACCATTAGTCCTAGCGAGTTAACCCTTACCCTGTAGTAAGCAGCATTATATTCACATTGTCCCAACTTTTATAAAGTTCTTAAACATAGACGTAAACATGGAGTATCTGTCTCACGGGACGGGGGAGAGGAAGTGAGTTTAGAGTCCCCCCCATTGCAGAGGTGTGAGAGCCAACAGGTACACCCACTTAGTACTGGCCCTAATGCAGATACGTGGCGATGGGGGAGGGGCATGGCAGCTGAAGCACCAAAGCCCATAGTGGGCCGTGCAGTGGCGTGTTTTTAGAGCAGTGGGCCGTGCAGTGGTGTGTTTTTAGAGCAGTGGGCCGTGCAGTGGTGTGTTTTTAGAGCAGTGGGCCGTGCAGACACACACACACGCAGAAAGAGCAGCTTAGTACAGCTTGCCAGTTGCCAGTGCCTTCCCCATGAGTGCTAATACCTAAGAGTCAGTAAATATGATATAAACAACAGCTTGAGAAAATGACCTCTGACCTGACTGCAGTCAGCAAGCGGAAGCAGTACGCATCACCAAAACTCAGCATTACCATGTGCGCTGGGGTGATTTACATAATTACATAAGCCTTATTTGCGTGGTGAAAAGAGTAACGGTAATGCTGACTAACGAATGATTCTGGTTTTCCAAACCCACACCCCCTATTCCTGCCAGAAAAGGCGTCATCAGTGAAACACACACTTTCAGACACGCTAGCAACTAACCCAGCAAGTCACATCACACAGAGACCAGGTACAGCCTCTCTGACAGAGTCACATCACACAGAGACCAGGTACAGCCTCTCTGACAGAGTCACATCACACAGAGACCAGGTACAGCCTCTCTGACAGAGTCACATCACAGAGACCAGGTACAGCCTCTCTGACAGAGTCACATGCGGAGGCAGTGGCCTGCACACTGACAGGGTGGTGGTAGGGGTGACAGTGAAGCACTTTAATGAAAATCACAGCTCTAACAGGAAGGGGGCGCCGTTTCTCATGCCGCTTTCCAGCAACAAGAAGCAGTCTGAATTCCATCCAGAACCATCAAGATGGGTCCGCTGGCCCAGCCCGGCCCAGCGAGGACGGCACCAGGCAGCGGCGAGGTAGAGGCGAGGGTTCAGCCGGGGGGGCCTTCGGAAAACCACAGCCGTGAAACAGAGGAAATGATCGAGCCCAAAATAAATTAAAATGGGACAGTTTCAAAAATGGGTCCCTTGAGCTCTGCCAGGGGAATGGGACTTCATAAATACACGTGTACATCTGCTAATAAGGGCCAGCGTTAAACAGGACACAGGAGAGCAGAGTACTCAGGGGGGGTGTCACTCCCGCTGTTCCATCTTGACCTTCGGCGGTTTGAGGAATGTCCGCACCTTCTTCTCCTTCCTGCTCTTCCCTTTGGCCTGGAAGCTTCTCCAGCTGTCCACGCGACCATCCCGCGTATCCTAGGGGACAGAGACCACATGGGCCGAGACCCCACGAGAAATAACCGCAGAAGACGACAGACACCCAGGCCTGGCGCTACCACCCAAGCGGCTGCCAAGTTATTCCAGAATGTTCTGGCATGTTCATGGGAAAGAAACGTGTACGCTCAGTACACGTTTATCATGAACGACTGACATAGGTGCAAGTTCTGCTTTGGGCGGACGGAGAGAATGTCTCTCGCTGAGAGGGGCCCATTAACCCTCTGGAGCCTAGGGGTAGGAAATGCACTTCCACTGACTGGGACATGGTCACACATTTCTTTAAAAATCATAACCTTAATTCATGGCAAATAAATTATTTTTTATATATTTGTTTTGGCATTAAACTCATCTTTATTTTAATGTACTTTGTAAATATGTCAGATTTTTGTTAAGTTTGTAATTTGACATCAAAGTATAGACATTGCAAAATGCAGATTGGAACACTTGCAGAAACATTATAAAAGTACATAGTAAGCAATGGTGGAAGTTTGTTTTGATCCCAGATATCTGATCAGCAAAGTCTTGGCTACATGAAGATGACTAAATGGTGTAGTTGCAACATTCAGTTGGATAAACAAATAAGAAAAACCTAACTCATGTCACTATTTCTGGCTCCTTCCATTGAATATGTAGGAGCTTTCATGTGTATGCATGAGCCATTCACACTTTGCCCCCCCCCAGCTATTCACACCTCTCCTCACCTCCAAGACAAAGAAAAGAATTTTGTAAGAAAGCAAGAATCATTCATTTTGAAAACATTTATTGCAAAAAAAATAGTCACTTTACAATGCAGTTTTAAAAACACAGGCAATGTAATTGCATATACACACACCAAACTATATACATGTGGGAGCAATTTGCACATTCACGGTTTCTTGTGCCACTCTTGAAAACAGTTCCTTGTAAGCTGTAGGCAGAGTGGAACATCACACGCCTGACATTTCCAGGGAGTGCTCTGTTGCTTGCCATCCTTTCTGCACAGCATACAAGTCCTGCGACCATAAGATGCCACTTTGTCGACGTCTGGGTTTACCGGGTTCACTGGCACTGGCACATGTTCGGAATGACTCTGCTGTGGATACTTCCTTGTGCATCCACACAGCTGCACAGTAAGCTCCTCCATGAAGTCCTTGTGCGACATCGGCTTCTGCTGCACTAATGCCGACAGCTCTTTCTGTAAGATGTAGGCATTAGTGGCAGCAATGTCTAGGAAATGCAAAAACAGTTTCCTGTACCACTTCATAGTTTTGTGTTGCGCTGAATAATACTGGATCAGTTGATCAGAGAGGTCAACACCACCCATATGACTGTTGTACTCTACAACTGGAGAAGGACAAGGAAAAGTCTTTGTAGTCCAGGTGCCATCTTTGGACTTGACTCTTCTCTGTACTTCATCCCCTTTGTAAGCACTGTGGATAGTGGAGCAGACAGATACCTCTCGTGTGTCCATCCACTTCACAAAAACTGTTGGACCATCCCGGATCCACCTGAACGTTCCTCTAGCAGACTTCTTGGACATAGCATTTGATGTACAGCATTTGATGTACTTCCTGTTGTCTCTGTATGTCCCGCAAGCACCGACACATTGTGAGAACAGGTCCAGCAAAAGCTTTGGGCTGGTGTAGAAATTGTCCATGTACACGTGATATCCACATCCGAGGTAGTGACGATTCATAAGTGACATTACACTATCATATGAAAGTCCTTGCCCTGACTGGAAGTTATTCTTTCCCGTGTACACAGAAAAATCTACCGTATATCCGTTGCTAGAGTCCGCAAGAACAAACAACTTGAATCCCCACTTGGTAGGTTTTGCCTTCATATACTGTGTCATCCCAGTCTTTGCCTTGGTTGCTACCATTCTTTCATCCACAGCTAGGTTCCTGCGTGGCTGATAGAAGGCTTTGCAAGCATCCTGGATCGTGGTCATGAGAGGCTTCAACCGGAACAATCTGTCGTGCTGTGATGTTCCACGCTTCTGGTCATTTGCAGGGTCTTCGTCAGGATCACTCATGTGAATGTTCCATGAAATTGTCCTGTACCTGTCTCTGCTCATGACTTTCGGCGGGAGAAATGCTATTCTATAATGCAGAAAATGCTATTCTGTCGCCAGTAGTCCCTTATGTGGTCTAACTTCACCATGGCCATGTAAAACACAAGTCCAATGTACCTATAAAATTCCTCAACACAGATATCAGTCCATTTATACTTCTTTCTTCCAGCAACATGCATGGCGGCACGTCGGTTGGTATTCCTGCAGAGTGTCTTCACAGCATTGGTACTGAAAAACATCTTGAATAAATCCAGCGGTGTGTGACGATCCGCTGAACTTAGCTGCACTCCAGGTTGTCGGGCAGGCTTGAACATCAAGGCAGGTGGACCCACATCAGCATCTTCTTCGGAGTTCCATGATGAGCTTGATTGTGAGTTGATTGTGAGTGCAGGGGTTGAGCGCCGTTGTTTTGGAAGAGGTGAACTGGATTAGGACAATCAGGACAACAATAAACCGAAACTGCATTCCAGACATTATCAGACGCGCAACAAAAGAAAGTATGGATGCAACCGAAACTGCACTCGGAACTAGCAGCTGTTACATACCTTGAAGTCACGTGATCTACTTTGACCGATGCTCCAGGCACAGATCCATCTTCATCTCTGTAAATGTTCCAGATATTGTGATTAAAATATGACAACGACAAACTGAAACCGCATTTCAAACATTAGCGGACGCGCAAGAAATATAGTATAGACACATATACAAAGCAGTTGACATAATATAATACTAACTGAAAACTTTATGAGCTCACATGATTTTGAATTACCACTGCATTAGTGTATAGAAATCATGCAGTTGCACCAGACAAAGCTAACTTAAAACTAACAAATACTATGTGCTTCCACGATTTCAATATTAATTTTGGAATTATGACTACATTAGTGAAACTGTAAAACGGCAATCATACTGACCAACTTGAGAACGATCAAATATAACTTACGATGAGCACGTGTATACTAAATTAGGTTTTATAACTTTACGCACGTATCAACAAGCACGGTGATAAAATTATACACTTACTCGGACAGGTCATCCACCGCTGGATCAAGCCGATCTTGAAAATGACACTGTTCTTCATCAGTGTCGCAGTCTTCGGGCGCAGAAGAATCTTCATGTTCACTTTCTTCCATCAATTGCCAAACAGCCTGCAGTGCCTCCTGTCCACTCATGTGATATGCCATCTTCGCAGTGAAATGTGCTCTCAGTGAATTTAGTTTCAAGCTGCATCAGCTTTTATGGAGCTGTATCTGGATCGCGTCATACTAAATACAATGAGGGTGATTAGAATGAATTTCCATTTTACCTAATTTTTTAAACTTTAATACTTCCGACAATGGACGTTTTGAAAAGAAGGCCGATTACGGATTTAGCCAGCGTTTTTTTTTCATGATTCTACATTAAGATTTCAGCGAGATATAAACTGAAATAGACGCGAAAAGTACTCTATGTCGTCGACGACATACTAGGCTCCAGAGGGTTAAAGGGAACTTCTCCACTCAGGAGACAATGCAACTTCCTTTAGGCAGGCAGGAAGCTGTTTGGTGGTGAGAAAAATTGCCACATTGTGGGGCGAGACCATTTATAGCTACTTCAAGTTCCCAGCACTTTGCTCTGAGCCGCCCTCACTGCTAATCCAACCAGCACTGCAGCACGACCTAGTGGCCAGTGAGTGCATTAGCACATCTAACCCATACACTGGGGGATGCTCTGTTACCTCAAAGTTCTTCTGCCATTCCCTCTCACGCTTGGCTTTCTCCTGAGCCTCAATCTCTTCTTCCCTTTGCCTTTTCCTGCATGGGGGGGGGGGAAAGCCAAATAAAAGAACTGTTGCTATCACTAGGGGTCTCAGACCACAACCCCCCGTCCCCAGACCCTGCAGTGCCCCAACCCACCTCTCGTGCATCTCCTTGGCCTCCCGCTCCTTCCTCTTGATTTCCAGCTCTGCAAAAAGCTTCATGGTCTGCTTGTAGACTGCCTGTCTGAACTGAGCAGGCGAGAAGCGGCACACAGAGCGCTACAGGTCAGTGGCGCAGGGAACCTCAAGGGGGCACTCTCTTTCAGGGCTTCGGTCGTCATACCATCTCTGGGTCGTCCTCCTCTACCACCATGACCTTGCCATCCTTCTTCAACTGCTTCTTCTTCTTCTCCATCTGACCCAAGATGACAGGCAGCAGCATGAAACATTCAGGGCCCGAAGCTGCCCGAAGCTGGTTTCTGTCCATCAGTCGCTGCCACCCGAATACTCTCTGCGAACAGGTTTCACTCAGGCTCCTGTGGTACCTGCACACGACAGCTACCGGGACCGGCTCACGACGCTCCCAGGACACGCACGACAGCTACCGGGACCTGCTCACGACGCTCTCAGGACACGCACGACAGCTACCGGGACCGGCTCACGACGCTCTCAGGACACGCACGACAGCTACCGGGACCTGCTTACGACGCTCTCAGGACACGCACGACAGCTACCGGGACCAGCTCACGACGCTCTCAGGACACGCACGACAGCTACCGGGACCGGCTCACGACGCTCTCAGGACACGCACCACAGCTACCGGGACCTGCATGCAGTCAGTGCGAGGAAAAGGACAGCAGCCTTCATCTCGTTAGCAGGGGGAGGCCAGCACCCCCACTCACGATCAATTGCAGCCCACCTGACATTTAAGTGGCTGCTTGTCTTACACACCTCGTCACCTCGGACCCGATACTGTCCAGGCATCTGCTCACCATGTGCTCCACGTTCTCCTTCCCGGCGTGGATCACGTCTATGATTCGCTTCTTCTGTTCCTGGTCCAAGAGCAGTTTGTATGCCTTGTCCACCGCTATAGAAGATGAAGAGAGGCATCATGGAAATAAGACTCTCACTGCTCACTGACTTATCCAAGGTATAAGTGCATCTCACAATGTTTAGTGTTTTGGGAACAGACTCTGTCACCATCCAGACAGAAGACGGAACATTCTTGAGAAAAACCATTTATATGGCTGCCAGGAGTCAACTCTGACTTAATACATAATAATAATTATAATATTATTTGACTATCTAACATCATGACAGACCTGAAGGTTCTGTGTTCAAATTCTGGGCATCTGATGCAACCACAGGACAGATTTAGCAGGGAGCTTAAAATGAACTGGCCAGTTCATGAAACTTCTCCAGAAGCACAATACCTTCAAAAGCTTTCTGGGCTCTGTCTGCATCATCCTGGTTCTTGTCTGGATGGACTAGAATTGAGAGCTGGGGAAGAGTGTCTCCAATTATTATCCAAAGATATTCAGTGGTATGTATTATCTGAAGAAATCCAACATTAGCCATAATCGCTACATTTCTTTAAATTAAAGTGCTAAAAGACCCCTATCAGTAAATATGAAATTTTAATTCAGCACACAAAAAAGATGGGTAAAGCAGTCACCTGCCGAAACCTCTTCTTTATCTCTTCGTCTGTTGCTTCAGGGTCAATTTGAAGGACCTTAAAGTTCAAACGACCACGACTGAGACCGTAAATGGGACGACAGCCTTCCAATACCTGCTGGCATTTCACTGCTCCTCTCATGTTGTCAGGGTACAGGGAACGCAAACTTACCTCAAAGGGGTTCAAATTGAAATAGGAAGATCCAGGCCTGGTTAGCCTTTCTATCTGCTGTGCTGGTGTGAGGACAGAGTCCCTCTTTTCAATCTGCTTCACCTAATAAGAAAATGCAGGACCGTTACAGCACCTTCAATAACAGTGTATGGAGGCGGGTTTACTTAGCAGGGGGATAACTCACTCGATGGCAAGTAAGCACTTCACACGGAAGAATCGTACTATTTAGAAATATTTCAGAAATGAGAACATAAGACATTTGCAATCATTATTTCACCCCACCTCGGTGTAAAATGTCTGAAAAGCAGCATCATCATCAGTCGATATAGCCATCTCGCCTTCTTTTGCGGCCATGTCGGCTCGGGCATACGCTGATGACGTCAGGCAGCGCACCTTTAAAAGGTCCAATGTTAGCGTGATCTGATTGGCCGGAGCATTTTCGGCTCATTCCACGCAATTAATCCGCCCATCATTAACAATGAACATGTGAATTATAGCGTTAAAAAGCATGAGCTGTGGCACAAGTGCTTGGGTAGTCGCTCTTTAAAACATTATGTATGTCTACTTTACCTAAGCAGGGTTGCAAACACTGCTCCGCTGGCTGGAGTGAGATTTTCAAGTTTTATTACTTCGTAAATAGTCGGTAGGGTTTGCAAACTACCCCGACGCCTTTGATGCAGCTAGTATTAGGTTCATAATGGAATAATAGATTTCGTGCCTGACCGAGAGAGTTGGCAATCCTGCTTAAAGCAAGAAAAATGCGCAGAACCACCAAGCAAGCAGTATCAAATTACAGTCAGGAAAAGGAACAGAGGTAAACACTTAATGTTTATTTTCTGGAAAAAAGACATCAATTTAAAAAACAAAGAAATAGTCCAAAGGGCAGCTTTACAATATGTAAAATGGTATACAGAGAATTTCATTTAAAATTACAAAAATTCAAGTATTTCCAAACAAGACAAAAATCAGAAATGAGGGAAAAAAGTACCTGAGAACAGTGAACAATATAAACGTTACAGATTTACTGTGCAACAACCAAGAACCAAAAATTAAAAAGGACAGATGTTTGATACTTTCCTCTTCGAGGAAAGTTAAAATTGCTAAAAATACAGCAAGTCTGTTGTCTAACAATGTGTAAAGCCCCAGCACCCAGAAGAGCAATTAAACCGCAAAGACTGGAAGTGTTATCCTCCAGGGCTACTGAAGCCAGAATCAACAAGGATTCAGGCAGAGTAGTCAGTAATATAATTCTCATACCTGCTTTCATAAAATTACCATCAAGCACCTTTGGAAGCTGATGGAGACTCAAATGTTATACAAAAGGAGAAAAAGGCACTTATTCTTTATTTGCTGGGTCTGAATTCAGTTGTGCCGTCTTACTCAAAGTAGAGGTAGGTAACCTGACCCATGGAGGGCCAGTGTGTGGATTTTTGGGATGATCAGCCAGCCAATCAAACAGTTTTTAACTCCAGTCCAGGTGACCCTCTTATTGGTTGACTGAGAGCCCCCCCCAAAATACCTCCACCCACACCATCCTCCATGGAACAGGTTCCCCACCCCTGGCTTAGACTAACCAAGGAAAGGCCAAATCAGCAGTTCCCGCCGCTCGCTCACGCGTTCTCGTCTGCAAACTTGTACTTGGCGTAGACAACGAGCATGACGACAGACATGACAAGGCAGAGGGAGCCAACCACTATGTAGGCGACCCCGAGGAACTCATTCTTCCCTCCCATCCAAGTGACATTGCTGAACACCACCTTCTTACGGCCGAAGTCTTTTACGGCGTAGTCTTGAGAATGGACAAGTTAGGGATAAAACTGAGAACACAGCCATTATGGCACAAAGCACATTAGTCAGACTGGGGACGGGAGACAAACAATCAGTACCTGTAAGAACTGAAGGTGGTCTGTTAACCCCCTCAAAAGGAGTCCTGCCTGTTGAAAGCGAAAGAATCTTCTCTAAACCTGGGTGTCCCTCCCCCCCCATTCACTCTGCTCAATAAAAACTACCTGACTCCATTCTCTGTGCCCTGTTTGTGAAGTTACACCCAAGTGGTTAAACCAGTAAGACAGGCTTACAGAACACTGCCTGAGGCTGGATCCAGGCAGGTAAATAAGCCAAAGAATCAGGCACCATTACATTTTACCTGCTTTTAATAGGATTGAGTAGACCCTACCACAGGGATCTCCAACTCCGGTCCTGGAGAGCTACTAACTAACTAGTAGCTCTCCAGGACCGGAGTTGGAGACCCCTGCCCTACCAGAACAACATCTGGACTGAAGCAGATTCTGTGAATGGATAACTGGTCAACTGGAATGCTGACAGACTGAATTTAGCAGGAAATTCCAGACAGAAGTTCATAATATACTGAGCCGGAACCGAGTAAGGTGTTGGTCAGACCCACCCGCAAGTGAAAAACACATTTGCACCCAAAGGATACTGTACTCAATTTGGAGGACATAGTCCCCAGGAGGGAGCCCCAGTGCATAGTCGCCACTGGTGATCCGTCGGTACAGCTTCTGGAAATCTGGCAAAGCCGCCGTCCTCATCCACACCAAGAAGTCTTGGTTCAAGAAGCCGTTGTCGTTCATGTCTGAGGGGTTGAGCTCGTAGGCAGGCTTGGACCAGTTTACAGGTTTCATGGTGCCTAGAACATTGGATCCTGATCAGTAAATTGGGGCTTTAAGTGACAACCGATATACAAAAAAAGGAAAGGATGTGGATGGAAAGGGAAACAAGTAGTGCCAGGTTTGAGTGGTTCTGAAGCCTAGTGCAAGCTACAGACCATCGAGGAACATCAGAGCCTCGTGCAGAAGCTGCGGTTACCCAGGACAGCAGTGAGCAGCATGAAAAGGACACTTACCGTTAAAGGCATCTTGCAGGGAGCCCTGTGCAGAAGGATTCCGAAATTTAATATTATAATCTGTCCACCAGGCAATGCCCTTCCCATCCAAGGGAACCAGTTTCATGGTGCCATTGATGATCTGATACAGGCTGAAGGTGTCTTTAGGGGAGTAAATCAAAGGTGGAGTCTGACATCTGCACAATAAGCCACCAGAAGCACAAGATAGGGGCAGAGGGGCTTAAACGGTTTACCATTAAACATGCTGTTGGCTATGGACCCACATGGTGCGATAGGCTTGTTGTCGATATACTGGTACGGAGCACACGCATCAGCAGGGCTCTGTGGGACAGCGAACACATTTGGCAGGACAGTGGAAACCTTCACATCATATCATCACCATCATAAGGTCTCTACCTTAGTCACATCTCCCCAGAGCTGGACGTCATCTCGTGACACCTGGTACTTGCGATAGTTCTGGTAGTAGTTGGATAGACCGTAGTACAGAAACACAGGCCCCTGTAGAGGAGAGAGGGCGCGCAGGTCCACGGCTCAGGAAGCTGCCTGCACAGCAGGAGTCTGCCTGGCGAAATGGTGCTGCATGTTACCGTGAACAGTGTGGTCAGAGAGAAGGTCACGTTGCAGATGCAGGGAATTGTCTGCATGTCGGCACATTCAGAGCAGGCGGTGTACTGCCCTGTACCTGTATAGTCCTTCTGCAAATCCAGACACAGAACAGACACCCGGCTTAATGAGCACCACAACTGAGCTACATTCAGCGACCTCAACCTGCCCAAAAGCCCCAACCGCTGGATACAGAATGGATGAGCAGTCTGGACTGGACACGAGTTAACGATCATCTGGTTGAGCTGCAGAGGACCCAAGAAGACTGCCCCCCTCCACCTACCTCCAGCACTTGGATGTTCTGGGAGGTGATGTAGAGGGCCACCCCAATGCCGATGAAGGCCATACCGATGAGGAGGAAGCCTGGGATGACAAAGTGGGCAGACAGCATAGGCTGCCAGGCAGGCAGGCGCTGCTGCGTGAAGGCCGTGTTGTCTGGCCGATTGGCTGCCTGCTGGCTCTTCATGATGCGGTGTGAAAGATGCTGCTCCAGAAGAACGGCGGGAAGAGGCACCGCAGCTACAGGAAGCCAAAAAGACCGCGAAAGTAATCACCAACTCTGAAAAATATATATCAAAGCCAGTTTTATCCACAAAGGGACAGTGTGTATGCAGGCTTTTGGGATATCCTTTAGGTCAGCTGTTCAAATATAGGTGTGAGGACAACCAGTCCCCTAATTAATCAAATTAGGGAGTTGCAGTGAAAACCCGCACAAACAACGGCCCTTTCTGGAAAAGATTGCCCACCCCTAACCTAAACCATTAATTAGGGTAAACGAAGAATATGGCTGATAAGCAGTAGTCCAGAATTGCACTATAACTACATTAAATTTGACTCCGACAGTAACTATAAACACACGCTAAAGAGCAAAGCAGTTTTTCCAGTTGAAGCAAATGAAGCTCGAATACTGTATCAGTAACAACCAAATGTACAATCAGAGCGTCCTGCGAAGGTATCATCGACATTACCGCATTATACATACGCACGACATTAACCAGAAAAGCATACAAGTAAACGTCATATGTAGCACTTATTCGCCTATCTGATGTATAAATATCGCCGGTTTCCGTAACTGCCCGAGCACTCGGTACAGCCCGTTGCCAAAGGACTCACCCCTTTCCCTGAAAGTAACGAACAAATTGACCCTTATCTCCAAAAATAAACAAACGGTTAAAGAGTACTCATCGAAGGAAACATCTTCTTGCAATAAAAAGCTGTTTCTTTAGTTACTAAACTAAGAGGCGTATATTGGCTTGGTAGAGTGTACTCTCACCTTACCTGTCCAGGTACAGCCCAGAGCCGGGGCAGGTGTGCACCTACTTCCGGATCACCCTCCTCACTGACGTCTTCAGCGGAAGCCTACTGCTATCCGTTTTAATATACAACATGGATTATCATTAAAGCAATTAGATAACCCCGATGTATGTCATTTTCAAATTAACGGGGGATTCTGCGCACTTCGTATGTTGATTAATACAATTTGGCACTGGTGACATCTTGAAAACCGGTTTTAATCGTGAACGCGCAACGTGTCTTTATCTCGCTCATGCGCGCACCCGCGTCTGCTCTCTTTAACAAACGGTCACTTGCAGAGATGCCTCCCTGTTCGCGATTGATAGGTTTCGCACCCAATCATCGTATGTGAAACCCTGTATCGCTTTTCTATGAGCCAATGGGATTAAAGAGTAGGCGGGACTGTGAGACGGAAGGCTCGCATACAGCGCTTTCTTTGTGCTGATAACTGCGGGCTTCTAGAGGTAAGGTGTTTGTTTTTTGGTTCATGATCACTGCACTAGTTTTATGTCAGGGCCATCGCAGTGCGTCTGATTGTGCCCAGTTATGCAGCTTTGTTTTGGGGAATGTTCGAGTTTAGGCTAGCGTTATTTTTAGCGTCGTGCTAGTGAGTTGGTGGTGAAGCTACCTCACTAGGCTGCTCCTCTGAATAGCTTTAGCATTAGCCTTAGCGTGATACTAATGTCTTGGTACAATGCTAAGACGTGTGCAGTTTCTACCTATAGATTTAAAGTTGACCGCTTTCGTTTCTTTTTTAAATGCATATTCCATAAGACTCGCAAGACAAAGTTGTCAGGTAGTATATAGCTAAATGGTAAGCGAGCAGCTCCCACTCTTTGCGACGCGGGGGGTGGGGGTCGCTGGTTCGGTCCTCATCTTCATAGTGAAGCAGTTAAATTTGACTGAAATTAACTTGAGCATTTTCATGGTATAAAACTTAAAATAATTAGCAGGGAGCCTTTGTGGTTAATCGGGTTAAATGGAGAATAACTTTCAGCGCGATCTGTCTTGAATGTAGTTTAAAAATATTAACTTCCTTTTTTGGAGGGACCAGTAAATGTTAACATTTTCATTCATTTACCATCATGTTTGTTTTCCTGCTGGGTGAGTTAGTCACAAAGACATGGTGTTTAATTCAAGGAAGAGGTCAATATTGAATACACTCGGCTAAAGCGCAGAAACATCTAGCCTGTCCCTCGAACATCATGGGACTGAATGACATTTTTTCTGTCGTGATTAAAGTGCCGAAAGATACAGCAAAGTCTCCTACCTGAGATTATGACCTGGTTACTTAAGATAATCCACAGACTGTAGTCAGCAGTTTCATAATTCAATATCTACCTGATCACCCGTAAGAAGAATTGTAACCGATAATCAGTTAAACGGTTAATAAAAAAATGTTAAGTTTGCAGTGTGGTAAACGCATAGAAGCTAGAGGGTAAACGAAAAATATGCCTGGATACATATTCTGGAAACTCACGAGGGCGAAAACTAATCCGACTCGCTTCCCGAGGCGTTATCTTTGCACGGTGAGGGACATCAGTGCCATCTGATCGGGTATTCGGTGACAAAAAATCTAAAAAGGACATCCCTATATTTTTACCAAATTCCACACATTAATTGTATTGCTGCGCAGAAGAGGGTGCTGGGGCGATACGGTTATAAGAAAAGATGTTTTTTCTTCCACAGGAGAGATCTCGGCACTCCTCCATAATGTTGTCCAGTAAGAAGTCAGATGCTGGGTCGTCATCGTCGTCGACCTCAGGATCTGGAGGGGACAGAGCCCCAGAGCTGCCAGCATCAGGCCAGCTGGGCCCCCCCAACTCTTCCTCAAGCTCTTCTGAGGGTGGGGCACCCAGCGACCGCTCCTTGAAGAAGAAGGAGCGTGCATCGCCCAGCGGGGAGCAGGGCGGCCCCCTGCTGTCCCACCCCACAGGCCCAGGGGCCATTGACCAGGACTCGGCCGAGGGCCGCAGGACCAGTCGGCGGAAAAGGCCGAAAGTAAACACCTTGGCGGGGTCCTGTGGAGATACAAGCTCAGAACCAGGGAGCTTTGGCTGGAGATACAAGCTCAGAACCAGGGAGCTTTGGCTGGAGATACACGCTCAGAACCAGGGAGCTTTGGCTGGAGATACACGCTCAGAATCAGGCAGCTTTGGCTGGAGATACACGCTCAGAACCAGGCAGCTTTGGCTGGAGATACACGCTCAGAACCAGGCAGCTTTGGCTGGAGATACACGCTCAGAATCAGATGGTTTTTAGTAAACAGTCAGCAGGCAGGTTAGGGCAGAGCGGTGGAGATGTCCACGCAGGGCCCGGTTTTAATGGTGCTTGCGCTGTGCCTCCTGCTGCAGGTGGAGTACCGCGAGATGGATGAGAGCCTGGCCAATCTCTCCGAGGATGAGTACTACTCCGAGGAGGAGAGGAACGCCAAGGCGGAGAAAGAGCGCAAGCAGGTGGCTCCGCCCCCGCCCCCCCCTGTTGAGGAGGAGAACGACAGCGAGCCGGAGGAGCCGTCTGGTGAGTGTGCCTCCCACTGTGTTGCCACACAGTACTTGCTCCTGGCGGCTCGTCACATGGTCACAACCAGCGGCACCTGCCTGTCCTCAGGGGTGGAAGGCGCCGCCTTCCAGAGCCGCCTTCCCCACGACCGCATGACCTCCCAGGAGGCCGCCTGCTTCCCCGACATCATCAGCGGCCCCCAGCAGACACAGAAGGTGTTCCTGTACATCCGGAACCGCACGGTGAGCCCGGCCTGGCCCAGCTGTCAAACAGAGCCCGTGCAGCCGTTTGGTTAATGGATGAATCTTTTGTGTGGTGGTGGTGTTCATGAACAGTAGGGGGCAGTGTATCCGTGTGTATGGCGCTGTGTGGGAACAAACCACCGGTTCTGTTTATAAATGTACACTCAGTGCACTTTGAGGATGGGGGTGCTCTGCTAACTCTGTACCCTGCCCACAGCTCCAGCTTTGGCTGGATAACCCAAAGGCCCAGCTGACTTATGAGTTCACGGTGCAGCAGCTGGAGGCCCCCTATAACAGTGAGTTGGTCCTGATTTGATTGGGTAGCGTGTGTCCCTGGGGATGATTTGATTGGGCGGCCTGGATCCCTCAGGCTGCAGGGTTATGTTGTCATTTCCTGTTAACTGTCCGTCTCACTCTCTCAGGTGACAAGATGCTGGTCCACAGGATCCACAGTTACCTGGAGAGACACGGACTCATTAACTTCGGCGTGTACAAGCGTGTGAAGCCGCTACCCGGTAAGTGCAGTGCCGCCTCAGCACCCTGGCCGGGCGTCGGGAAAACACTGCTAACATGCTTTAGTTGTAAGACTGCAGTGTTTCGGGGAAAAGTGGCTGGTGGAAAAGTCACAGACGCAGCCGCCATCTTGAATATGTCTCTGTGTGGTGCAGCCAAGAAGACGGGCAAGGTGATCGTCATCGGGGGTGGGGTTTCTGGGCTGGCCGCCGCCCGGCAGCTGCAGAGTTTCGGGATGGACGTGACCGTGCTGGAGGCCCGCGTGAGTGTGACACCCCCACACACACACACACACTCTCACAGTACTCACTGATATATCTGTCGTGTGACCACTCTCACAGATAATGCCTTAATCTCTCTGTGGCTTCCCCTGGTATCTTGCCAGACGCGGGCAGCCCCGTTGCTTGAAGCCTCTGTGCTGATCTGTGTGTGTATGTGTGTGTGTCTCGTTCCCATCCCATCAGGATCGTGTGGGCGGGAGAGTGGCCACCTTCCGGAAGGGCAACTATGTTGCTGACCTGGGGGCCATGGTGGTGACCGGCCTGGGTAATACACTGCATGTGACACCTCTGTTGCACAGCAGATGGCAGTACACTCAAACTAGTGAAGCTGACACTCTAGGAAATTCTTTGTTGCTCACTTTGCATATTTGTGTAACTGTCAGTTTATTTTCTAAGCTGTATGGGTACAACCACAGCTGAGTCCAATCTGCATTTTCTGTGAACTGTAGGTAAATGTGTATTTAGCATGATTTGTCTGTGAGGAGGAGATGGTAGCAAATGTTGTGAGAGGAAGGGAAGCCAGAACTGAGGTGCTTGTTTGCTGATAGGCGGGAACCCCATGGCTGTGGTGAGCAAGCAGGTGAACATGGAGCTGGCCAAGATCAAGCAGAAGTGCCCACTGTACGAAGCCAACGGCCAGGCGGTGAGTGTCTGCAGGGCGGCGTCTGCTCCTGCAGGGGGCGCTGTGGGCCTGGCTCGGCGAGCCATCGTTAAACGGGTGCTGAGGTTAATGCAGCCCTTAAGCAACCCCCAGCTGGCCTCGCGTCCGGCTGCCTCGCCTTGCCTCTGAGCCTCCCATTACCCCCCCGAATAGCTGTAGTCTTAGACTAACTTTTTTTATTATTCGAAAAACCGTAACTTGCAGTACTGGCTGAGCTGGAGCTGTACTGTGTGTGAGCAGCTAAGAGCAAACGGTCCCGGGTTTTGCTGTAAAAAAGGCCGTCAGTGTGGATTCAGCGGGGCGTGTGAGCAGGGATACTCAAGGCCGATTTTGAGCTGATTATCTGAGTGGGCGGAGCCTGGATGACTTTTGTTTGAGTTTGACGTTCGTTTCTGTTTATTGTTTACTTAACATGTTGTTTTGTTCCCCTCCCTTTTGTTTCTCTCTGTCTGTCTATCGGACTCCCCACCGTCTATAAAGGGCGAGAGATGCACCAGCGTATGTACCGACCTCATATTTTTTTTGTTCCTTGTGTTCTTTTTTGTTAATTTTCTCCTAGTTTTCATTAATCTTTAAACAAGGTGACGATGCATGATTTTCATCACAGCTGGAGTGAAGTGACAGTCACTAGATTCCATTTAAATCAAGGCCATAACATCAGGCATGATGTCAGGATGTGCATAGGAGTGAGCGAGCAAGCATGTTTGTGTGTGCATGGAAATGCGCGTCCATGTGTGTACGGGAGCGTGCATGCGCGTGCGTGCGTGTGAGCGTGGGAAGCTGGAGACTACCTTAGACTTTCATCTTCATCGTCACCGATGTGGCCAGGGAGTGGGCCCAGCTCTGGATGTTGCGAAGATGTCCCCGTCCAAGTGTGGGTAACATGGTCATCAGAAGGTGGCTGTTCCACACGTTCACAGCCCCAGATCGTTTCAATCCCCTGAGGAAAAGTGGGTTGAGCAGTTCTGGCGCTCGACGTGCTGACTACTCGTCACCATCGCTCCAGGTGCCCAAGGAGAAGGACGAGATGG